CCCGCCAAGTGGTGACAATTAAAAAAGCCTCAAGATTGTGCCAAATGTCCCCTTGGGGGCAAAAGCACTCTCAGCTGAGAATTACTATTCTAGACCAGGTCCAATGGGCTAACCCAGTGCTTGGCTAGAAATGCAGAATCTCAGACGCCCTCCCAGACCCACCAAACAAGTCTGCATTTTGGTAAGACCCGGCAGATGTCACACCCACGCCCGTGCTCTCCGCCCCCCGCCCCCCGCGGCCCCTCAGAGTCGGTGCCTCTCATTGCAGGAGGCAGATGAAGCCCTGCTGAGTAACCTGCGCCTTCAGATCGAAGCCCAGTTTCTGCAGGATGACATCAGTGCGGCCAAGGACAGGTACAAAAAGGTAACCATGACCCTTCTGTAGCCCTTCCCCCCAAAAAACCAGTTCAGGGCACTTGTGGCTGAAAAAATGGGGTGGCTGGAGTGGGCTGCCCTGTGTGCGGTGCCCCAAACCAAGTGGGGCTGGTCTGGTCGCTGGATGGCACCTAGTGAGCCAGACCTGCGGGGCTGTGGGAGGGGTGGCAGTGTGTGGTGTGTGTGTGTGTGTGTGTGTGTGTGGTGTGTGTGTGTGGAGGGCGGTTATGGGTCAGGGGGAGCCAATATCTGTGCAGGACGTCACAGTCCACAGAGTAATTGCACACAGATCCGTCTTGATTAAGCTGTAGCCTGTTGACTGGTTCAGCTCAGAAAATGGAGAAAATGCAAAAATCGTAATTTTTTAGCGCTGTCTCTGAGGGAACACATGGCATGCAGGGGCCTCCTCGCATGTGGCGCTGTGCTCTGCCCCCAGCCCCGCCAGCTTCTCACAGGCCTCACGCTGGGGGGCCTTGGTGTTCCGGAAGAGCCCAGTCCTGGAGCTCTGTAACCGAGGGCCAGCGGCCTAACCTCTCCCGGCTTCTTCATCTTCGAAATGCAAACGCCAGACTCTCCTTCCCGCACAGCCGTGTTATCTGAGCATAGACACCTGTGGGCCTGGCCATGCCCCTCAGCCCTCGGGGCTGACCTCTCCAGGGAGCCTGGCCTCCCTCCAGCTGCAGTATCTACGTCTCTGCCTCAGGACGGATGTGCACCAGGCAGCGGGGGGCAGGTCTGCCTCACAGGAAATGTTGGGGAGTTAATGCCCCGGGAGCAGCCTCAGCCAGGGACGGATGGAGTTGGCGGACACGTACCCCAGCGCCCTCTGCACCGGCTCCCAGAGAGCCCGCTAGGACTGGTGCCCACAGGGGTAATTCACCAGATAACACAGTGTCTCACCTCCCTGCTCCACTGCTCATGTTTCCTGGCATCTTTGCACCCAGATCCTTCCCCCAGGGTCTGTATCTTACTCAACTGGGGCTGCTATGACAAAGTACCACAGACTGGGTGGCTTATGAGCAACAGAAATTCATTCCTCTCAGTTCTGGAGCCTGGAGCACCGAGATCAGCATGCCGGCAGGGTTGGGTTCTGGTGAGGACCCTCTTCCTGGCTTGCAGACAGCTGCCTTTTTGCCATGCACTCACCTGGCCTTTCCTAGATCCTTATCCATAGAGAGAGTGACTGCCTTTCTTATCAGGGCACTAATCCCACCCTGGGGGCCCCACCTTCATGCCCTCATCTAAATCTAATTGTTCCCCAAAGGTCCCACCTCCAAATACCATCCTGCTGGGGGTTAGGGCTTCAGCACATGAATTTTGGAGGGACACAACTTTCGATCTCTAACTGTCTGCTTCTGAGGAAAGCCACACTGAGGCAACGTGAAGTAATATGGGTGAAGCACCTAGTACAACCTGGAACTTGGCAAGTGCTCAGGCAGCATCAGAGTCCCTTCCTGCCTCTGTGGGTGCCTGCTGCATTGTTTCACTGAATCCCAAAAAACAGCCTCAAGAGACAGTGTCCTAGGTTCCCTGTCAGCAGAGCCTGAGGTGCCTATAGGTGGGGTGGGGGTTAGGAAGGCGCAGGGGAAGGGGCTGAGCTGGAGTCCAGGCTCAGCCTGATCCCATGGGGGCTCTGGAGCGTGAATCACACCACAAGCTTGGTCCCACCTTGAGGCAAGAGGGTTGGTCTTGTGTCCTGAGCCAGGAGTCATTGGTCCAGGTGGGGGATGGTGTGGCATTGGGGGCAGTTGCATAGCTTCCTGGCAGGATGACCACTGTGTGGCCGTGGGCAGTTCTGCGGAGGGGTCAGCTCTCGTGCACGGAGCAGGCCCAGGTGATCTGCTGGTGAAAGGGACCAGGCGTTGCCTTCAGGTTGTTAATCCCTCTTTTGTGGAAGAACCCGAGGTTTAGGAGGTTTGAACACCTTGCCTGAGGCCACGTGCAGCTAGTGAGTGAGGCAGTCCCCGCGGACTGGCCACAGCCTGTCCGCTGAAGCACCGCCTGTGCTGCAGTCAGCAAGGTCCTTTGTGCCCTCCGGGATCTCTTTGTCCCTCATCCCTGCTTTTCTGATAACCCTGCATCCAGGGCGCTATGGAGACGCCACAAGGCAGCCACGGGACTGAAGGGAAGGTGACATGAGCTAAGCCTCCTTTATTCATCGAGCCCAGTGTTCTCATGCAGATTAAAGGAGGCATAAAGCGTCCTCCGCACCCATCACGGTCTGTCCTGTTTGTGGTGGTGGGACACGTGAAGGCATTCATCCTGTAGGTCACCTGGTACTGGAGGGGGAAATGTGGGGAGCTCAAGTTTGCATGAGAACGCTTTCCACCCCCAACAGAATCTTCTGGAGATTCAGACCTATGTCAGCATCCTGCAGCAGATCATCCAGACCACCCCGCAAGCAGCCGCCATAACCAGTGGCATGAGGGAGGTAAGAACGGGAGCCCAGGCGGCTGCGAAACTGCATGTGGGGATTTGTCCTGCAGCCCCGGGAGCCCAGAGACCCAGGGAGAGGCGTCAGGTCACCCCCACTGTGGGTTCACATTCGAAGTTCACTCTGCTGCTCTTTCACTCAGTCGGTGAACGTGGGTATTTAGACATCTGAGGACATAAACTGTGCCCCTGACCATCTTCTTAGGTATTTCCTCTTGAGGATCATGGGCTGTCCTTCCTTGTCTAGTTTATAAGAAACTTCCAGACTGTTTCCCAAGCACTGTAGCACTGCTGCATCCCCACTGGCAACGGATGGGAGTTTCTGTTGCTTTGCTTCCTTGTCAACGCTGGGTATGTCGGGTTTTTATTTTGGTTTTGCCCTTTGCTACTTTAATAGGTATGTTGTGTATCTTGCTGTGCTTTTAACTTGCATCCCCTCACGCCTTAATGATGTTGAGCATCTTTTCATGTGCTTATTTGCCATTTGTATAGCTTCTTTGTTGGACTATCTACCCAAGACTTTTGCCCATATTTTTTTATTGGGTTGTTTGTTTTCTTATTCCCCTTATCAATTTGACCATAATTTTGAACAGGGAACCTCAGACAATTAGTGACTCTATTTTCAAGGTCAGGCTCTGCTAGTCTGGGGCATGAAAACTCTTGGGGAAGGACAGAGGTGATTGAAGCCGATTTAAAAAACACTGGGATTTGGAGGTAAAACCTTATTCCCAATATAATGTTCCAAATCCCTTCCTCACTTAGCTCTCTAGCAGGGCAACAGGATATTGATGTATTTTTTCCCCTAACGTGGTTTATGGGATTTTGTGATGCATGATATGATATTGTAAAAATAAACTGAAAAGGATGCAGATTAAAACAAAAATGTCATGTGTCCTTTCTTCAGAGGAGTGTTACGCTGGGACAGGGTTTTGTAGACTCTGTCCAACTGAGAAGAGTCTGGGTTTTTCTGCAAGGATGACTTAGGACAGAAGTCTACCCAGGCCCACACCCTGGAGAACCAGTGGGCTAGGGTAGCTGACTGCTTGATGTTTGTTTGAACCTAATTTTTTATATCAAAGCTAAAGAAATCCCCAAATTTGCTTTCAGAGGCACTTTCGAACCCTGCCAAGTAACATCTAAGAGGCAGGAGGGTTACTTTTTTTGGCCTTGATGGGAATATTCTTGCCCACCAATGACCCCAATTGAACTGGGGTTGCCGCTGAGGCCTAAAAGACAGCTTCTCCTAAAGCATAATTTTCTTGGTCAGAGACTTCTTTCCAGACACTTTATTTCTGTTTTGCAGACATTTTCCCTTTAATTCATAGGTGTTTTACATCAGAGCACACTTTTAAAATCACATCATCTGTTCCCTTGTAACCCTGTTCTTCTGAGTTGTACTAATGTAGAGCCGTCTAGACCTAGTTTGATAGTGTCAGTGATCATCAGAGACCCTCAGCATCGTTGCCCGGGAGCTTGAGACAAATGCAGCATCTGCAGCCCGACCCCCAGCAGACCCACTGTGTCAGACTCTGCATTTTAGCAAGATGCTCAGGGATTCGCGTGCATGTTAAAAAGCAGATTTAGAAAGAATCACATTCTTCATTAATCTCAGCTGAAAAATTCTACATACGAGCTAGGTGGCTGCTTTCAGGTTTGCTCCTTTGACTCTTGTTACTGTCCTAGAAAATGCCAGTTGAGTTTGCACGAAGGATATAATTAGCATTGCTTCCTAGGAGCATGGGGTTAATGTGTCTATAAAGCATAAAGTCAGTGTCTTGTAGCCAGAGGTCCCTGGGGCCACCCCTGTGGTTAAATCAAGCTGGGTTTATTATTCCCCACAGGAGGGGAGGGTATACGCCGTGGATGGGGACCTGCGCTGGTCTGGGTATTGTTGGGGGGTGGGGGGCTGGTCTTATGGCTGAATATCCCCCTATTTTGTACCTTGGAGGGCAAGGTATGGGGTGAGGCTAAGGCCGTGCTTGGTAACTAAGCACCATCACTTGAGTTAGTGGTCATTTCCGTGGTTACACGGCGATCGCTTGGTCTGAGCTCAGACACAGTTGCAGAGCCGGTCTTGTTTCCGTCTTGTTGCCCTGGGATCCCAGAGTGACATCTTTAGGTGTTGAGGTGGCATCATCTGTAAATTTATAAGGAGGGAGCATCATGCTGGGGGGTGTTGGTTAGTGCAGGCTTCCAGCTGACAGCTGCCGGCTGTCTTCCTTCCTCTACGGTAAGTATCCAAGGGCCTCCTGTGCGCGAGGCACTGTGGGGGCACCTGTGGGTGGACATGGGGAGGATGTAGTATAAGTAGGAGCTGGGCGGTGAGGAGAGGCGGGGCCAGACAGGCAGGCCAGGCCCTGGCGGGGAGGTGGGTGAGGGATTTGCACCGTGTCTGCGTCCATGCTGAGGCTGCAGGTCTCGGTTGGCATGTTTGCACATCATCCATGTAGTGGTACCCAGAACGTGAGTCCCCTCTGCTCCCAGCTGTCCCCACGTCTGTGTCTTTGGGGGCAGGGAGGCAGGAGCCGAGGCACAGAGAAGCAGGGAGGACAGAGAGAGAGAGAAACAGACTGACAGACAGGGAGAGAGAGACACACACAGAGACTGAGAGAATGCACGTCTCCACTGGGAGACTCAGAAATAAACACACCATCCTTTGGCAGCTCTGTCCCCAGGCCCACTCCTCCTCCCTTGCTCTCACTTTCTCTGTATCTCGTTGCTCCGGCCACTTTACAGGCGGCTGCAGAGCAGGGGCACCTTCAGTGGGTGGCCGTGAACGTGCTGGGCTGTGACTCTGCCCGGCAGGGGCCGGGCGGGGGGGTCTCCGTGTCAGAAGGTGCTGCTCTAGAGAGGCCAGGCTCTCAGGAAGGGGTTTAGATGTTTCTGAATAACGTGGAGAGGCTGGTGGGAAAAGGGCAGCTGCTCTGCAGAGTGTGGAGAGGTTGAGGGTGGACCTCCTTCCAGAACATTCGGGGAGCACCGACAGGGCTTCCCTTGTCGCCATGGCCCCTGCTGTGTGCCGTGGGGACGGCTCAGCACAGTTGGTGGCTCTGGCTCAGGGCTCAGGCTTAGAAAACAAAGCGAAAAGGCAGTGAGTGGCCACGGTGGGCCTGCCTGAGTCAGCTTGGCTGCTGTGACAAAATACTGTAGACCAGGCGGCTCAACCAACGGACACTTACTGCTTACAGTTCTGAAGGCTGGAAGTCCAAGGTCAGGGGGCTGGCAGATTTGGCCCCTGGGGAGAACCCCATCCCGGCTGGTAGATGCCACCCCTCTTCCTGTCCTTTCCTTCCTGCCCGCATGGAAGAGGGGGCCCTGGTGTCTCGTCCTCTTCTAATAAGGACACTAATCCCATCGTGGGGGCCCCACCCTCATGACCTCATCTAAACCAACCCTCCTGCCAAAGGTCCCACCTCCAGATGCCATGCATTGGGGGTTAGGGCCTCGGCCTGCGAACTTGGGGGGATGTAAACATGCAGAACACAGCGGCCCCTCTCCTCCGAGTGTGAGCATGCTGAGTCTGGCTTCTTTGTGCAGGCGAAGCTCTTGACGGAAAGGGAGGTGGCCACCCTGCAGAGCCAGCTGGAGGACGGCCAAGAGGTGCTCTGCCTCCTGCAGGCCCAGAGAGCCGAGCTGCAGGCCCAGGTATGCCCGCCCCTCCTGTCTGCTCCTCTCATTCAGGTGTCACGGTCCTGCAGAGGTGAGCACTCGTGCATCTAGCGCTGTGAATTCTGTAGACTCAACACACCTTTGTCCTCAGCCCTCAGAGACTCAAACAGCATCCTCAGTGGGGTGACCAGCCGTCCACTTCCCGGGACGCCTTCCTGCCCAGACTGGAAAAGCCCTGGGCCAATGGGGGCAGTGGGTCCCACAAATTCGTGGTCCCCAGAGGTCCCCCGCAGGCCCCCTTTGAGTCGCTGCCCCTCCCCCACCGAGGGTACGCTATCCCCACTTCTGCATAACCGATCTGTTTTGCCCAGTTTAACCTTGTTTTTGAAAATAAGAAATGGACATACGTTGGGGTTTTTACCCTACGCTCGCACGAATCTGTGCTTCCTGTTTCTCTTCTCATGACCCAAACTCTCTCCCTTGGAATTTGACTGCAGCCCTGGAGAGAGAGGTTGTGCTGGGATTTGCTCCTGCTCAGAATTTGTCAGCGGAAACTTTGCATTTCCACCCCACCCCTTTTCTTTTTTCGGTGAAGCTTAGTTTGCAAATGAGCAGAAAAGCTTTTTGCAAACTTTGCAAGTAAGCGCAGTCCTGTCTCTGTGGCCTTCCTTTGCGGTTAATGAGCTTCGTGGGTCACCCCACCCCCGCCAACCCTGTGATTCCTCCAGTTTTCTTCCTCTCATTACTGTACACCGGGCCATTCTGATGGGGACGTTGGGTTAGAATATGCTTCTTACGTTGTGTAACCACATTTCCCAAATCCAAAAGTAAGCTGATGTTCGGTTTGACAAGTACACATAAGGGACAAGGGAACAAAAATTTAAAAATCTGCCCCTCTAGAAAACCTAGACTATTAAAGGCTATATGTTACTTTGTCTCTATCCCACCAATGCCTGACAAGATCAAACCCTGCTGAAGCCACATGAGATGTGGTGCTTTTGGTGGGTACACGGTGTCCTCCAGATCTCAGGACTTGAGTCCAGAATCCTGATTCCTGCCCCACCCGCCACCCGGCTCCTCCCTGTGCAGCAACTCAGGGGCCACGGAGAGCAAACGGGGGCCTGGGGACGGTCCCCCAAGGCAAAGACCCCAGCTCAGGAAAGCGAGTACTGCCCTTAAAACACGTCCTGCTCTTGTTGACAAACCACGGCTTGGGGACCAGATGCACCGTCTCGGTGACTTGGTGAGTGTGTGGTTTCCTCTGAGGCCCTGAGAGGATGGAGGGAGGGTCAGGGTGTGTGTGTGTGTGATGTGTGTGCACGTTTTTATATGTGTGCATGTGTGCATATGTGTATATGTATATGTGTGTATATGTCTGTATGTAAGTGTATGTGTATATGTAAGTGTGTGTATGTGTGTGTATATATTTGTGCGTTAGTATATGTATATATGTGTGTATGTAAGCGTATGTGTAAAATGTGTGTATGTAACTATGTGTGTATGTGTGTAATGTGTGTGCATGTTTTTATATGTGTATATGTGTGTGTGTAAGTGTATGTGTATATGTGTTTACGTGTATGTGTGTATATGTGTGTACGTGTGTGTGTGTGTGTGAATGAGTGTTTGGAGAAGTGGATGCACACCCAGTCACGGTTCTAGACACCAATGTTTTCCAAACCACCAGTTACAACTCATCACTGGGTTGTAAAATGAACTCAGCAGAATCGACTGGCTTGAGAAAAGAAGGAATTCACAGCACTAGCCTAAGACCGAAGAGGAAATGACAGGGTGCATGGCGAGTAGAGGCAGGATTTATTTTGTGAAACCTTTGTTTTAAATATATCTGTATGTGTGTTTAAGTATATAGATTTGTGCAAATACACACATGTACTTATATCTTTGTATGATGTCTATGGTTTGTGATGTAAAATGTGGCTCTTCCAGTGACCACGGTGATGAGGTTGAAAACCTCTGCCCGAGAGACTGAGAAGGACCCCAGTCTCCTCAGGAGATGAGGGAGCCCAGCCTGATGAGGTGGGCACATCAACCAGTGAAGTCCGGTTCCAGGGCGAAAAGAATGCTTGTCTCTCTGTGAACTCATATGCATTTATTGACTATAAAAGTAAGACGGGGCTTCCCTGGTGGCGCAGTGGTTGAGAGTCTGCCTGCCGATGCAGGGGACACGGGTTCGTGCCCCGGTCCAGGAAGATCCCACATGCTGCTGAGCGGCTGGGCCCGTGAGCCATGGCCGCTGAGCCTGCGCGTCCAGAGCCTGTGCTCCGCAACGGGAGAGGCCACAACAGTGAGAAGCCTGCA